GGTTTATTAGCGAAGCGTATGTGGTCTCGCAAGTGGGATGGTCATCGCGCCCTAAGATAATGTGCCCCCAACTCTCCAGAAGAACCAGAAGAAAGAAGAAACGTCATCGGCATCAAGGAAAGTCGCCGTTTAAATGGTACGTGAAACGGTACTTTAACTCTCGTACATAAGAACGTGTTATCGTTCCAATTTCGGCTGCCGCTGGCGATATTTGTTTACAGCACGCTGCTAGGCGCGGGACGGAGAGGCAAGGAAACTCTCAACAGCTGACAACAAAACAGGTGGCACGCAAACACGGAGATCCCAGCGAGACAAGCAAGACAAGCGAAAGAGAGAGAGAGATAGGGAGAGGGAGAGGGAGAGTGAGAGGGAGAGAGAGGGAGAGAGAGAGGGAGAGAGAGAGAGAGAGAAAGGCTCGCCGAGCAGAGAAAAAGCGAGAACAATGCGGGATAAGGAGACTTGCCTGCTAACGATTATCGAGTTAACGTGATCCGATACCGCTTACCGGGACTCTCGAGCTTGTACGAAATTACCGTTTTTGGGGAGCTGACCGAGACGCAACCGATTGCCCGTGTATCGTGTTCTCGTCGGCGTGGTGCAGCGAGAGCGACTCCCTTTGGTGAAAGATCTCAATCGCGCGTGATCGACCTTCGGCTCAGGACGAGCCCGGATACACCGCGGAGCTACAGAAGGGCAGCTAAGACGACCAGCGAAAGGCGAGGCGACCGACCCGGAGGACAGGCGAGGAGGAGTCCGACTAATTGTAAGACCTCTTATTCGTTTGTACTTTTTCGTCATTTTCGTGAAATTGTCGTTCGGAACCTACCGCATGCTGAGTGGTCGCGCGAAACGATATGAGATCTCCCAATAGGGAATAATATATCGGGTGAACGTATCGACGCGAGCGTGAGCTCGAATCGGGCACTTACAGTGCATGTATCGCAATAATAAATATCTCTACCGAACGTATGATGGCCTTCTTTTCCTCGGCTTCCACCTACATCGATTAAACCCATCCCTACTCCGACTAAAATCAAAAGAGAGCTACCGGTCCCGTTCTGTCCCCGCGATATCGAAGACGGACGACCAGTTAGAGATTTTAGCGAATAATTGTTGGTGAGGAGGTGCGGCCTTACTGCACCTGGCGCCCAACTGGAATTAGCGAGTCCGAAACGAGATCCGGGGACCGCGGTAGTTTGTCGACGAGGCGGACAGACGACTGTCCGTTA